GAGGTTACGTTTCATGGTTGTCCATGTTTGTTGTAGACAAAATATTTCTGACAAGGCTTTCAGATTACAGTTTAATTTTTCACCTAACCTTAGCCAATGGCCAGGAAGAGAACGTCCAAAGCAGGACTACAGCCATTGCATCCCTTCAGCATTGGCTATATGGTAAGCCAAGCTTTAGGAATTCTGTCACTTAATTTTTATACTAGGAAGAAAATTGTGATATGAAACTATGGTGACCAACTAGCTAGCAGGTTAGTCGTATCCTGCAACTGGATTTCCCAACTGGCTTCAAGTCAAACTCAAACTTAGAATGTAAAATATTTTAGTACTTACTTGGTTTGATAGATGGTTGTTGTTTGTTGGACTTGATGTGGACAGTCGAATGATACAAATTGTAATTTTTCCCCCAATTTATAGTTTTTTAGTGTCAAAAATCATCAGTAATTCCAGAATCCAAGAAAAAAGGTTTGGGGTAAAATGTGTAAAAATCTAAACATAAAAAAATAAAAGTATTTCTAATAATAATGATAAGATGTATATAGTGATAGTAGGTTAGACGAGGTGGTAAGATAAAATTGTAAAAAAATAAAACTATATTTATCGAGTGAAGGTGAGAAAATGAATTTAGTACTTATAGTAAAATATAGTAAGTTAATTAAATTGTTTTAATGACTTCAATTTAAAGTACACGTTACCCAGGCCCCGTGTTCTACAGTTTATGCACGTTAAAGACCCCTTGACAGTTGGAAATAGAAAAAGCGTAAGATAATGCCGCTGTCTTGACAAAATTTCTCTCATGACTTATCCCGTCTTCATTAGCTCACCAGCCGTAAAACTCCATCCATTCCATATTCCATCCACTATCGTATCCAGCTAGTGGAGAATTTGTATGAAACTATCGTATCAAACTAGTGGAGAAATTGTGTGAAACTATCGTATCAAACTAGTGGAGAAATTGTGTGAAACTATCGTATCAAACTAGTGGAGCAATTGTATAAAACTATCATATCAAACTAGTGGAGAAATTGTATGAAACTATCGTATCCAACTAGTGGAGAAATTGTATGAAACTATCGTATGCAACTAGTGGAGAAATTGTATGAAACTATCGTATTCAACTAGTGGAGAAATTGTATGAAACTATCATATCAAACTAGTGGAGAAATTGTATGCAACTATCGTATCCAACTAGTGGAGAAATTGTATGAAATTATCGTATCCAACTAGTGGAGAAATTG